ACATATTTATAAAAAATTAATTTTTTTCAAGAACCTGGGAACATAAAATAAGTTTGAATCGAAAGTCTAAAACATCTTTTGAGTATCAAGTGACAAATTGCGTCTAGTGTGAAGAACTTGAACAAAATATAGTTGCATTAACTTTTCAAATAATAGAAAAAAAACTTAAGTGAATTCCTCATTATTTCGAAATGGAAGCAAAGTAAAGATTATGGAATTGGAGACATGGAAGGGAATAGAAGAGAGGAGAATGGAGAAATGGCAATGGTAGCAACAACGAAGCGACAACATGGTGATGACGAAAACAATGAAGGATGATGGCAAAATGATGTTTGCAGATAAACAAAACAATGGAGGGAGACGGAAAGCATGACACATTTGTAAAAATTTCATTAAAAATAATCCTAGACAACAATTTATGCTTCAATTATAATAAAAATCAAAACAAAATCCTCTTGCTTAGATAAAATAATTAAAAAAAGCAAAAATTTTGAAAAAATTTTGTACATCTTTCAGTCTCGATTTCGATTGCTAAGAAATTGAAACCGAAAAATGTATTATAATCAAAACCAAATCCTTTCACTCAGATAAAGTAATTAAAATAATAGTATAAATTTTGAAAAAATTTAACATACCTTTTAATTTCAATGATTAGGAAACCGAAGGAAAAATCTTGTCTCCTAAACAAAATAATTAAAATAATAATAAAATTTTGGAAATTTTAAAAAAATTTCGTAGGACTCTGTTGGTGGGGAACCGAAATAGGAAAATATATATAGTTTCGATTACTTTACAACTGAAATATATAATTTAACAAAATTTTTAAAATTTCCACTACGTGTTTATTCGTTATGTTTTCTTGGAAATATAAGTATATAATGTGATTTAGAAAACCAAAAGTACACTGATGCATATACAACTAAATCAAGTTAACGAAATAGATGTTTCTCCCTTAGCTAGAGCTTATAGTTTAAGAAAAATCAACTTTCACAATCCAAAAGCTTCTATTGTATTGTGATAAAATCTCGGAGCTTCAACCATTACAAATAATATTTCCATTATTCTACTATACTCTCTTTCGTGAATCAGTTAATTAAGACATCTTGGATATATATAACTTCTCAAAGAGAAGTAAAAAACGAAAAGGAGGGAGTATATTAGCTATTACCTCTTCCTTAAAAGTACAGTGTAAGTGAAAAAAGATGACACAAGAAAATATCTAAATAACTTAAATATTTAGAAATATAAAATTTAAATTAAATTAAAAAATGATTTCTTTTAAACTTGTTTATACTTTTTCATTTTTTCATTTATTTTAGAATCACATCTTTAATATAAACAAATACTATTTTATAATCTCAAAATTTGTTCCAACATTTTAATTGAATAATTTTATTCAAATTCTAATTTGCCCGACCAAGACTCACATGAAAGAAAATCATATCAACCCCACTCTATTGCAAAAATATATAAATGTTAAATAGTTAACATTAAAATGAAAAAAAAAATACCATTGAAATTAAGTTAAATTTTATGAGAAACATTTTGAAACAATTTACTTTATTACAAATGTAAAATCATATTAATTATATAAGATGTTGTTCATCAGATAAAAATGTTGCAAAAATAAATTGAGTGATTATTAGTGAGTAGAAATACAAAATTCAAGAATGTCTAATATTTCCATATACTGATATTTACAGTCATGCACTGAATAGTAAAAATCTTAAACTACAACTTCCACCCAAAACACCCAAAATGCAAATGGAAACTTTTCCAAATGGTCCCCCATCAAACTTTCTTCTTTTATTAATGTGTTTCTGCACTTCCACTGTTTTGGCGCTTTCAATTATTTATCATCATCATCTTCCTCCTCATATCATGTGCATGAAGCATCAATTTTCTAAAACCAGTTGATGAAATTAAGGTGTATATACGGTAATTATATGATGTATAATAATATATATGCATATAGGTGAATATAATATAACATATAATATTATTTTATTAAACACTTAAAAAGAATAAAAACTAAAGAAAGAAACTGAGGCAAGAGTTGTTGGTCATTCCACGTGCAATTATGCTTCTTCTTCTTCCTTTTCACTACGTACTCCTTTTCTCCTTTAAATCTTATGTACGGTACCACCATTCTAGGGATCGCATAAATGGAAGCTTATTTCAAATACCACAAGTTATTTTACACTTCATGAATAACAACAACTGAAAAAAAAAATAACAATCAGAATAATTGATGAAATAGTAGAAAAAGGGAGATTAAAAAAGGAAATATAAAGAAAAGTGAACATAGGTTCTCATTGGTAATGACTCTTTTACACTACCATATATTCTACATATATGTATATACGTATTAATGGTTGACATCTTTTACGTATGACAAAATTTGTATCCTAATTCAAAATCATAAATTTGTAACAATATTTATAGTTCAAATGAAATTAAGTGTAAAATGAAATTACAATGTAACGACATTATAATTTTGTAATATTTATTTAAAGTATACTAATATGCTTAGTGAAACATCATATATTAACTATTAAAAATTTATATTGTAGTAGAACTAAAAGTTACTAGAATAGGTCGGTGTTTAAGAAAAATCCTAACAATAAGGGAAGTAAAATTAAAAATAAAGTATAATGCTTAACTTAGAGATTGGTTTCTTGTTAACAAATTAACCAGTCAAAATTTAAAGAATGCGTTGAGGAAAATTATGATAAAAAAGTCAACTTGCGTCGGACCAATTATTCTCCTTCAATTTTCTTTTCTTAGTGAATATATATTCTTACCACGTTTGTGAAAAAAATGTTATAAATTAAAAATATTAAGGACATAAAACATTCTCTTAAAAAAATTCTTTATTACTTGATCGAGGTTTATAAACAAATAGTAAATTTTATAAATTTGCTTATGGTTTATAACTTTTTAATAAATTTTAATCAATACTAATAAATAATATTTTAAAAATATACATTGAAGAATGTGTTGTTTCCCACTAAGACTATCCTAATTGTGAAAAGTTTATACTTTGCAAGATCTTAAATTTATTTATTTTATTGTCCATGTAACATGTTAATGTGAACTTATTATAAGACACCCAAAATTGGGTTGTGATTCTCCTCTTAGTTATAATTTTTTTTCTCTCTTAATACATTTTCAAAATAACCTATTTTTATTCTTCTCTCCTGTATACTCAATAATATTTTAATATGGTACATTAATTAATTGAGTCTACATCTTTTACGTTAAATTTTAATAATCGAGAAATAAAAAATAATATAAAAAGATTTTTCGTCAGAATTGAATGAATTATACATAAATTTACAATATAGTTTATACATTACACGTAATCACTATAGTTAAAAATAATTATTTCGTCATAAACTTAATCTTAAAAATAAATATCTATCTTCTTAAAGTCCCATACTAAAATATTATTATTTATATATATATATATACCCTCAACTCTCCTATAAATATTAGTAATTAGCCAAGTCATGGAGTGCACATGCAAAGCCTTCAATTATTGTTGATTAAATAATAAGGTATCTCAGAATTTCAAGTTTGTTAACTTAATCGTATTAGTACACGCCGCTGTCTTTAAAGTACGGCAATTAGCCAAGTAATAGTACTAATTAGCTAATTGAGGAAAACAAAAGTAATTACGATATTTTGTTATCATAAAAATACAAAAATAAAAAATAAAAATTCAATACTTATTTTAAAATGATTAAAATATTAAAAAAACTAATTAGTTAATCAATATTTGATTATGCTAATGACTAAAAATAAAATCATGCACGACAACAATTGTATTTATGAGATTAGAATGCTCGGGGAATTATGTTCATTGACCATGGAGAGGACAGCTAAACAGTTGGAGTTCACACATATGAGCGTAGTTATCTCTAGGGAATATGTTAGTAATCACAATGATTAATTTAATAATTTGATGAGGAATCTAAATTTCTTTTTCCTCTTCACGAAGAATTGAATTTGCAAGCATATGGATATGTTTAAAGAAATAATAGAACATCTTGAAAAGTGGGTGATAAATATAAAGACAAAGGTATTAAAAAAATAGGGAAAGTATATATATAAGATGCATTATTGTATGGTTTTGCTCTAATGATTATTAGAGCGTCCTAAGTAGAATGAGTTTAAAAAATGATATACGCAACATTGGTGCCAGCATGAAATGATGGAGGTAGCCAGAATTTGAGAGGAGAAGGAACATAAATCTTGGCATGTGAGTGTGATTTGGGGATATATATAAAGCAAAGAAAGGTGAGTTCTTGCAAAAGGGTTTCACATGGGGGGAGATGGAGGACATGATTCTTACTTACATATATAACACAGTCCTTTTTTCTTCACAGCTCATCCTTAACAAAAGTCCTATAAATCTTCTCAATATACAACTGTGTCATAGTTTAATCTGCACCAAGATCTTCTCCCATGTAACTGCACCATGTTTCAGTGATTAAATAAGGCCACCACTAATCACAGACTTGCCAAATACTCAACTGAAAATGATGAAAACCAGAACCATTTGCATACTCTTTTGATTAATAATATATAAAAAAGGGAAGTATATAGTATCTGATCCAAACCAGAAGCAGAAGCAAAAGGAAAAGGAAAGTACAGATATGGGATGCCAGCCGTATCCAATTAATCCATTAATCGGATCCAAAAATGGTAAGAAAAGAGCTAAAGAGAGATGATTATACATAGAATAATGAATTGAAGGGTTGTGATGGAAGACTGAGCATGTGAAAACCAGGAGGTGAAGCATTGATTGTGGTCCCATTATCATCCGAGTGTAATTAAAGTGCTCTATGGATAGGACACAGCACAAAGAGGAACTGCCAGAGACCCTATAGACCAAGCTTTTTTGGCAGGGTGAAAAATAAAATACTGCTCCAATCCAACCCAAGAACAGGATGAAAATTCTTATAATATGCTATACAGTATCATGACATGAGACAATGGATGCCAAGTGAAGGGGTCACATCTGCACGTGGTTGCTGATTCCTATACTTATTAAACAACACTCCATTTTTCCCACTAAAACCGTTCAGTCTTTCACCACCTAGCTGTTGCTAGCTGTCTCTAATCCCCTCCCATGTGACCCACCTCTCTCTCTCTCTCTCTCTCTCTCTCTCTTTCTTCATCTCCAAAACCCTTGGTGAAACAAACATTGCATTACATTATACCAAAATCTAGGTAGAGGGTAGGAAGAAAAAGGAGAAAGAAAAAACCTTTATGGCAAATGAATGAAAACACCATTATCAAGGCTTTATTACATGCACAATGCCATTGTCTCTCATCATCTCTTTAATCTCTCTTTCTCTCTCTCCCACTGCTTTTAGAAACCCAAGAACAAGATTTTGAAGTAAGATTTTCGGTTGTTTGTGTGTTGGTTAGGTTGTTGGGATCTCTGTTGTTCCTCTTTCTCTCTCTCTTTCTCTTTCTCTTTCTCTTTCTCTCTCTGTCTATTTTCTCAGACACACGATTAGATACACAAGGCCATTATACGTAGTACACAAATTTCTCGCTATCTCTCTATATTTGGGGTCACACATACATAGGTAATGGCACAGTTACCTCCCAAAATACCAACCATACCCCAAAATTGGCCATCTTTTTCTCACCAAAGGGTGCCCACAATGGCCAACTTCACACCCACAACCTCATCCACCACCACCACCGTCGCCGCCGCCGCCACCACCACGGCTCCCTCCCAACCCTCATGGGTCGACGAATTCCTTGACTTCTCCTCCACCCGGCGGGGGGCTCACCGGCGATCCGCCAGCGACTCCATTGCCTTCCTCGAGACGCCGTTTCTCGAGGAATGTCGAGCCGGTTTCGACCGGCTCGACGAGGACCAGCTGATTTCCATGTTCTCTGACGACATTTCAGCAGCGGCACTACCGCCGCCACCGCTTTCATCGGCGTCCAACCCCTCCTCGCCGTCCTCCGACCAAAATAGCAACAACGAGGAGAAGCCCATGGCAATGACGTTGGACCTCAAGCCGAAGNACTAAAAATAAAATCATGCACGACAACAATTGTATTTATGAGATTAGAATGCTCGGGGAATTATGTTCATTGACCATGGAGAGGACAGCTAAACAGTTGGAGTTCACACATATGAGCGTAGTTATCTCTAGGGAATATGTTAGTAATCACAATGATTAATTTAATAATTTGATGAGGAATCTAAATTTCTTTTTCCTCTTCACGAAGAATTGAATTTGCAAGCATATGGATATGTTTAAAGAAATAATAGAACATCTTGAAAAGTGGGTGATAAATATAAAGACAAAGGTATTAAAAAAATAGGGAAAGTATATATATAAGATGCATTATTGTATGGTTTTGCTCTAATGATTATTAGAGCGTCCTAAGTAGAATGAGTTTAAAAAATGATATACGCAACATTGGTGCCAGCATGAAATGATGGAGGTAGCCAGAATTTGAGAGGAGAAGGAACATAAATCTTGGCATGTGAGTGTGATTTGGGGATATATATAAAGCAAAGAAAGGTGAGTTCTTGCAAAAGGGTTTCACATGGGGGAAGATGGAGGACATGATTCTTACTTACATATATAACACAGTCCTTTTTTCTTCACAGCTCATCCTTAACAAAAGTCCTATAAATCTTCTCAATATACAACTGTGTCATAGTTTAATCTGCACCAAGATCTTCTCCCATGTAACTGCACCATGTTTCAGTGATTAAATAAGGCCACCACTAATCACAGACTTGCCAAATACTCAACTGAAAATGATGAAAACCAGAACCATTTGCATACTCTTTTGATTAATAATATATAAAAAAGGGAAGTATATAGTATCTGATCCAAACCAGAAGCAGAAGCAAAAGGAAAAGGAAAGTACAGATATGGGATGCCAGCCGTATCCAATTAATCCATTAATCGGATCCAAAAATGGTAAGAAAAGAGCTAAAGAGAGATGATTATACATAGAATAATGAATTGAAGGGTTGTGATAGAAGACTGAGCATGTGAAAACCAGGAGGTGAAGCATTGATTGTGGTCCCATTATCATCCGAGTGTAATTAAAGTGCTCTATGGATAGGACACAGCACAAAGAGGAACTGCCAGAGACCCTATAGACCAAGCTTTTTTGGCAGGGTGAAAAATAAAATACTGCTCCAATCCAACCCAAGAACAGGATGAAAATTCTTATAATATGCTATACAGTATCATGACATGAGACAATGGATGCCAAGTGAAGGGGTCACATCTGCACGTGGTTGCTGATTCCTATACTTATTAAACAACACTCCATTTTTCCCACTAAAACCGTTCAGTCTTTCACCACCTAGCTGTTGCTAGCTGTCTCTAATCCCCTCCCATGTGACCCACCTCTCTCTCTCTCTCTCTCTCTCTCTCTCTTTCTTCATCTCCAAAACCCTTGGTGAAACAAACATTGCATTACATTATACCAAAATCTAGGTAGAGGGTAGGAAGAAAAAGGAGAAAGAAAAAACCTTTATGGCAAATGAATGAAAACACCATTATCAAGGCTTTATTACATGCACAATGCCATTGTCTCTCATCATCTCTTTAATCTCTCTTTCTCTCTCTCCCACTGCTTTTAGAAACCCAAGAACAAGATTTTGAAGTAAGATTTTCGGTTGTTTGTGTGTTGGTTAGGTTGTTGGGATCTCTGTTGTTCCTCTTTCTCTCTCTCTTTCTCTTTCTCTTTCTCTTTCTCTCTCTGTCTATTTTCTCAGACACACGATTAGATACACAAGGCCATTATACGTAGTACACAAATTTCTCGCTATCTCTCTATATTTGGGGTCACACATACATAGGTAATGGCACAGTTACCTCCCAAAATACCAACCATACCCCAAAATTGGCCATCTTTTTCTCACCAAAGGGTGCCCACAATGGCCAACTTCACACCCACAACCTCATCCACCACCACCACCGTCGCCGCCGCCGCCACCACCACGGCTCCCTCCCAACCCTCATGGGTCGACGAATTCCTTGACTTCTCCTCCACCCGGCGGGGGGCTCACCGGCGATCCGCCAGCGACTCCATTGCCTTCCTCGAGACGCCGTTTCTCGAGGAATGTCGAGCCGGTTTCGACCGGCTCGACGAGGACCAGCTGATTTCCATGTTCTCTGACGACATTTCAGCAGCGGCACTACCGCCGCCACCGCTTTCATCGGCGTCCAACCCCTCCTCGCCGTCCTCCGACCAAAATAGCAACAACGAGGAGAAGCCCATGGCAATGACGTTGGACCTCAAGCCGAAGACGGAAAAGGTTGAAGAGGAGAGCTCGTGCAAGAATGAGGCGGCGGCGCTGCAATTCTCCGCCACTACCACCTCCCCTGAAACCGTTGTCGATCCCAAGAGGGTCAAAAGGTTAGGCTAATCACACCAAATATTATAATTATTGCTATTACTACTATTATTTTATTCTTTTATTATTTTATGTTGTCCACCTCCCATGCACGTACAATTAATGAAAATAATTTTATGTTCCAATTAAACTAATAGCTCAGTAGAATTTAGGTTCTATATATAAACTAATAAATTAATAATAGTTTAATTCATATATAATGTCAGTGTAATTTACTGTCTAACTTGTTGCTTTGTATAATTTTTAAAATAATTATTTTAACAGTAATAAATTTATTACTCAAGATGACGATTTATAATTCCGTCATTTGATAGATTATTTATTCTAATTATTTTAATTTCATACGGGTTTGTCGAGTAGAATTTTATTCATAAATTTTACTAAAAAGGCTGTTAAGTTAAAAAAGTTTTGAATTTTCATCAGTTTAAGTATTTGTTTATAATCGTAAAAGAAAAATACTCCTTGATCCATATACCTTTGTCTTGCACATTAAATTTGGTACTTTTTTATTGCTAAATATGAATAATATATATACTTGTTTAGTAGAAAGGTGATTGGCTGTGTGTGCCACATTTTTTGAGAATTATAAATTATACTATCATCAAACCCTTCGCTGCTAAATTTATAGAGTCGAATTAGAATTTGATGGCTACACTTTTAACTGAAATTAATGCATGATACAAAAATTGAAATTTTTGTGTTATTTAACTGTAATTTCATGGAAAACAATTGTTCCAATTATAATAAAGAAAACAAATGTTTGATAGTCATGTATATATATCTGGATATAACATAGTCAATTTTATCGAACCAATTAAATGTGTTAGTTGAGTGCAGAAATTAATTATGTTAGGCCAATAATCTCTTGTACACAGTTTTCCTTTTCAAGCTACTTTAACATAGCATTCTCCTATAGGTGATTCAGCTGTATCTATAAAAATTAAAGGAGTGTAATATAAATATACCAAACTGAATCTAATTTGTAATTATGTATGCATATCAGAATTTTGGCTAACAGGCAATCAGCACAGAGATCAAGAGTAAGAAAACTACAATACATCTCTGAGCTTGAAAGGAGCGTAACAACATTACAGGTAAATATAAAGTTCGATTTAATTTTCATAATAACATATATATATACACACATTATGCCCCAGGAATATGAATGTTACATGTAGCATAATGATTGTTGAGTACAACATAGTATGAAACTTGTGCTAATTTATGAGAAATTAATGTTAAAATGAAGACGGAAGTATCAGCATTGTCTCCACGAGTTGCATTTCTGGACCATCAACGTTTGATTCTTAATGTCGACAATAGTGCCTTGAAGCAACGTATTGCTGCTTTGGCCCAAGACAAGATTTTCAAAGACGGTATAATGCTGTTCTTTTTTCCTTTTCCAAGTATTTTCGCTTCAGCTTTTTATATGTATAGCAGTATGGTGAAAGATTATTTTTCTGTTACGTGCGAGTGACCTAACACGACGTAAGACATACCATAAGATTCTTGATCTCGATATGTTGAGGATGTCGTAATCTAGGTTATAGGGAAGTTACATATATGTTGTTTTGTTTTTGAAGTGAGGATAATGTTATTTTGCAAGTTTTGTTCAATAAGTTTGGAAGTTGGAAAAAGCACGATGATATGATGATTACTGAGATAGTGGGAATTTTTGACTGTGTCAGCTCATCAAGAGGCATTGAAGAAGGAAATAGAGAGATTGAGGCAAATCTACCACCAACAGAACCTACAGAAGATGAGTAACACAGTGAACAACAATCTTCAAAACCCATCAACATCACAGCCACAAGCAACTATTCAATCACATTCCCTTCATCAGCATCAGCAGCAGATAGCAGTGTCTCAACCATTGGGATGCAAGGACAAGGAGCAGCTCCTGAGTTGAGGGGGAATGTGGATGTATGTATGTATGTATGATGTAGGTATGGATGGATGGATGGATGGGTGGATGCATAAGTTGGATGGTGGTAATTAAGTAGAAGTTTCACGTGATGTGTTCCCCATGAATGTTGGTGTGGGGTTGCTGACACAGTGATGGGGTTGGAGGGTAGGAACTTGACAAGTGGAGTGTTTGCAATAGGGTGAAGAATTTTATTGGTTGGTTATCTTGGGGGTTGGATTGGAATTTTGGGATTTTATTTTCTTCATATTACACTTTTGGTTTTTCCTTTTTAACAGAAAAATTATTCTCAATCATTTTTTATTTTCTTGGGTGGAATAAGGGGACAAACCATCGTGGTTTTGTATTGGGATATGCATGGAAGTTGTCAGAGAATTATTTTTCTCCTTTTTTTTTTTGGAGGAAGGGGGTGTCTCGTCGCAGTTTTCTTTCTCGTTTTTCTTCCTTGGGACTAATTTGTTTGTTTGTTGTTTTTTTTTTCAGTTTATTTGGATGAATTGTACAAAATTTTAAGCCAGCTATAACATTTATTTTTACTTACACATGGAGACTGTGCTCTGCTACATGGATTAATTGTACCACCAAATCATATATATATCCAGCAGGTTGGAAAATGTAATATTAATGATGATATATGCCATTTACTTAATATTTAAAACATGTGAAATTTAGCATTCCAATTCGGTCGGTACTTCAAAACTCTCCAATACTTATGT